CCAACTGGCTGCTGAAAACATCAACTGTTGAATTTTCCTCTGGGCATGGCTCTAGAACCAGAGAGGAAATTGTGAGAAAACACCATCCAGATGCCAGACTCCAGAGGCTACGGTGCAGCCAACTATCAGCCCTACGTATTGCAAAATCTTCCTATGCATGTGGTACATTGTGCATGTTTAGCTCTTTTTATTTGCAAGCTGTTCAGCTGCAACAAAAACTTCAGTGGAGCAGGGAGCAGAGGAGCGTGCTTTGGGATAAAAACCAAGCTGATATTTCCAGCCTGCAAGATGGCTACACTGCACTGGCAGCTGTGGATTAGGTGTCTCAGTCCTGTGCGGTCACAGTCAGACAGAAAATAGCAGTGTCTGTGGCACACAGGGTGGTGTGGCTGGTCCCTTCCCGTTCAGCAACTCCCTGATGCTAGCCCCCATTGATTCAGCCAGATTAACTGCTCTCATTCATGGTCTTCTGGATTGCTTGAAAATTATGCAAGCCAATGTCCCGGCCAGGAATGCATACAGACTCTCCATGCTATGAATGCTGCTGCAGCTGCTGCACAGCCCCCACTAATGCAGGCTCACCTGGAGTAAACTTGTGAAAGAGATAGTGATTTATGGGCATTGCATGGACTGGGTCAGACTGGCCACTGATAAAACTGCCAGATCCAATCCCCCAACAAAAAAATAATTCAATTCAGTATATATCCATCTCCTCGGCCCAGAATCAGATTTAGCTGACTTCACAGATATCCCAACCAGAAACTTGCATTCCAAGGAGAGCCGTGAGCCACCCTGCGTGGCGGGTAATTGCTCTTCTATAAACGTTATGAGCTTTTCATTTCCATCCCGATAAGAGCCAAGAAAACTTTTGAAAACTTACTAATTGACACAGGAATGCAAATGTCAGTAATTACTGATCAAACAGCAAATGATCTAAATATAAAACCTAGTCAGTGAAAGTTACAGGAATTGACAGGGTGGTAACTGATGCGGAGAAGAGAGGTATTATTACCTGCGCACTTTCTCCATATAATTCCCCTGTCTGGCTGGTGAAAAAAACAAATGAGCAATGGCGACTTACAGCTGACTACAGGTGATTAAATACCAATGCGGCACCTTTACTAGGAGTACCCTGAGCAAGGTTGAGGACAACCCACTGATCCCATTTAGAAGCTGGTGGAATTGTGGGAGAGACATGGTTACCAGTCTAGAAAGACTGTCTTCCTTCTCCCCCTCAACACCCACCCCCCACCACCCCCCCAGCCCCAGGATAGTGCCTTTCACACCTTTGCAGGAGGAACCAAAGGGATTACAAAACTAGAAGCTGCAGTTTGGGGCTCAGGCTGCCCAATCCTACAGTGGACACCTACCTATTAACCTACCTAGTAGGTGCCCTTTCAATGGTCATCTGAACATTTCTTTTTTCTTTTTCAGATATCCCAGAGAACACTGAATTCCATGGATCATCATATACAGAATTGGAGAGTCCTCAAGGACTATTACTTTTTATTTGTACACTAGTGGTATTTCTAGCACTTATCTGTATGCGTGAAACCTAAATTTTAGAGGTTGTTACGCTTGTTTAGGTGAAATTATGCCCACAGATACACTCCCAATTAGGCAAATCCTACTAATGCTTCCTGTATATATTAAAAGTCCTGCAGGGATTAATGACAATGTGGTAATCAAACTGATTAAGGGATTTGCTGATACGCACAATGTGTCTAGTATTACTGCTTGCCTCCATTTTCCTGTTCTGTGGAATATTCTTTGCCAATAGGTACACTTCCTTTTGAACCAGAGAGGGAGATTCTCCAAATTTAGAATCTAAGTTCCATACAATTTGATGTTCCCAACTTGATTTCCTGAAACATAAATGCAGTTTCCTCCTGGGTTAAATTGGACAGTCAAAACCACAAACTGTACATTTAACTTTACTTCCTTACCATACTCACCGGACTTCTTATTGAAACAACTGTGTAAGGGAGCTCCCTAGGGAGAAATCCAATTAGCTCAATGGGAGCAACCAGATAAATCTCTCCGTTTTACTGTTCCTATAAATGCCACCTGCTGTCTCAAGTGGAACCAGGGAAATGATTGTCCACAGACATGCCAACATCCAAATGAAACCATAGCTAAAGAACAGTGTCCTAGAAACCATTTCTGGTCAACCAGAAACATTTAATGGGACAAGTCTGAAGAAGATTTTAAGCTGGAATACCTGCACACTGTCATGTCACAATAATGCCTAACACAAGTAGATTGTACAAACTGAGATGAATATCCTTGGGTTATGTTATGATAAACATTATCAGCCAGTATATGTTGCTTTGCGCATGAGATGTCTCTGTCATAATCATAGTATAAGCCTACTTAGATATGTATGAAATTCTCCCCTAAATGATTGTAGGAGGACTAGTGCAGACAGTCCTGCAGGCTTTATTTGGGCCTGCAAGCATGATCACCTGCAGAACACTATACCCGCAAGGACAACAAATCTTGAGTGTACTTTAGGAGTGCTTACATTATGCCCTTGATGGAAATCTATTACACTACATTGGTGGAGCCAAGCCAAATGTGAGCTATATCCTGACCAGAAGGGTAGAACAATCGTGGTAGAGCCACTTGAGTAGCACGAGGTGCTGAAGGACTGTTTTAACTTGGTGAGGCTACTGTCTGCACATGTGTAATTATTGATGCAGAGCGGGAGTTTCAGGAAGTGTGGTTTGGGGGGTTAGCTTTGAACAACCAACTATTATTTACAGCATTTTGCACTTGAGTTGTGTAAGAAGCCTTGTGTTCTTCTTTCAGAAAACAATGATTCTGTAGCGGACTGCATATCTCAAACCCCAGCTGGATGGTGTGTGTTAGCCTACTTTCGATCATCATTGAAAGCCACAGAGTAGGAAGTGAGCATCATTCATCTTACACATTAGTAACTGGATGCCTTTTAGTGAGACTGTCACACTCTCAGATCTATCAGTTCTTTTTTCCCTTATGAGAGAGAGAAAAGACTTTTATACCTTTTCTTAATATAAAAATTTAGGAGTGCATCCTGTAGTTAAACGGACTGCCATGGGCACTGGCATAGAGGTGCAACTGTCCACTCACAGCTACACTCCTTATATTGACATATGTGACAAAAAGGAAGTGATCTTTGCAGAATTATCCTCATAAGGTTTCTTTCTTTCAGGTGTTAAGGATCATCACATCCTGTAGATAGAGCAACTTGTTTATTGCCCTGAGCCAGAAGGCACATGGGTTGTTCCTGCCCAGTCACTCCTGTTGAAGGATGTCTGAAGAACATCCCCAGCTATCTGGTTGGTTGCCTTCCCTGCCTGACTTCTCTAAAACAGGTCAGACAGCTGTGTCTAGTTTCTGTTAGTCTATGTAACTAGGTTTGGAAAACTAGTTGCATAGACTTGTATGTTGAAGAATCTCAGGAGCAGTACTTTTCTCATCTTCATTCATTTTTATCTGTGTAAGGAAATAAAAATCTCAAACAAATGTAGCAGGGAGGGTAAGTCCTGAGTGAGCAGAAGGGCCGCTGGCAGTGATACCTGAATGGTCCTGACTTTGCTTTAACAGTGATACCTTTGGAAAACAGATGTCTGCAAAAAATTCACCATTGTGCTGATACACTTGCAGAGATTGCCAAAAGTGCCAGCCAGCACATGGTATCGATACAAATAGTGCAGTACTGTTTTCATTGAGGTTGCAGGAAGATTTAATCCTGGTCAGAAAAATGTGTTCCGCCAGTATTTCCATGGGTTAAATGTGGCAATGATGAATTCTGGCCCAGAGCATTTTCTACTGCCCGAGGAAGCAAAGGATGAGGTTCACATCCACCTGTCTCCCCTCCCTGACTCTGGAACTGCCTTTCTCTCTGCACCAGGCACCAGTCCATATGCACTCGCACAGGAGACCACAATGGATTCAGGTGCCTTGAGGTCCTTTCATGCAAGGCAACCCAAATCACCGCTTTACCTCCTTTTTGGTGCTCTAGTGCAAAGGAATTGAATTCAAGTCTCCTGGAAGTGCCCCAGGTCTTGCTTTTGAGAATAGAATTGAGAATGGGAGGAGGAAGAGGATTGGGGTGCAAGGGATCTGTCTCCTCTAGTGAAACCCCTATATTTAGGGTAAGCTGCTGGAACAGACACTAGAACAGAGTCCAGGAAAAATGTCTGCTGGGTACCATCCCAGTTCATTGACCTGAGTCATGTTCTCCAGCACAGTAAAAGGATGAAATTCCTGAATGGGCAGTTCAGCACCTGCTCCTCACACAAACCAAATTGAGTTCTGCCATTGGCTTCAGTCAGGCTCCTTTTCCTTTACCATACATAGAAATGTAAAAGATAAAAAGTTCTAGAAGGGACAGGAGGGATTCACAAGGGCACCAAAAAGAATTCACATGGAGCCACAGCACTGTTGTGCAGCTAAAGAGGAGGCAAGATAGCCCTTGCTGTACTGCTAACTGAAGTAGCACAGGACTCTTGTTCTGTCTCATTAACGCTTTCAAGTTTTGTGCTGATTTAGCCACTACTCAACATTCCAGGCTTAAGAGATTAATGGGCAAACCAGAAATAACATTTCGTCACTGTAGTAGATATGGTGGGTATGACTGCATGTCTTTTTCCTTCCTTCTGAAGCCACGTAATGGGATTAGAACAGGAAGAGAGAAGTGACGTGTGTCATAGGCAAACAACAGCCATCAATCTGTTCCTGTAGCAGCATTTTAAAAGGCAGTCACTGTAATAAGCTCTAGGATTCCCCATAATCAGCTAGAACTTCAAACTTCCCTTTCTGAATATACGTGGTTAGTACCAGAATTTTAATCAGTGTAGGAGAAGAGAGGAATTACTTGATAGACTACTGCACCTAAGAATGTCTCTCTTACAAACCCCAACGATTCTATTAAGTGAAAACATACCCAGTGAACCATCTAACACTTTAAAATTATTTTTTTTAAATTAAGTTTTCATAGTGAGCACACCAAGTCCTTAACTTGCAAAACAATTTTATTTCACACGTATACAAAATTAATACACATTTAAAAACACACTATTATAGGTTACATCTACTACCACTGAATGTGTTAACAGGGGACTTTGCACTTCTCTTGAGTTTTCCAGAGTCCTACCCAATCCATGTTCTCCGCAAGGTTTATGCCTACTTCTGTAGAGGTTAGAAATGGTCTATTTGGAGTTGTTGAGTACAAAACTCAGAAGACTGAGGCAGAATATGCCAGGTCCGCATCTGCATACTAAGAAGATACATAAATGAATAAACTTCCCCTTTCCACTCCCAAAACTAATTGGGATGAGCCCTCCTGGGCCCTTACAGCTAATGAGAGCTGAAGCAGCTGTAATGAGAAGCAAATCCAGGAGCTGGCTCTTCCTCTCTTCTACAAACCTCCTTAGTGCTGTCAAGCAGCAAAGGCTGTCTGAAGAAGAGGGATCTTTACAGATGCTAGCAAAATACTGTTCTTTCCCTCCTCTTCCCATTAAACCCTCCTGACATTTGGTTACCTACTTGCCATGTCACTGTGAGCAGTAAACTCTCCTTCAGGCACCTTATTAGAGAGGCATGATTTAGGGTTATACCATTTCGTTGCAGTTTTGAAGCTGATTGTCTAAATGGGCCACAAGGATAAAGCCTCCTGCAAGAACCACATAATGGGATGTAGTGTGTGTTACTGCTCTGTCACCATAATACAGAAGGAAATGTGGCTCTCCAGTAAGTCCTAGATTGACAGCATATGCAAGAAAATTAATAAAAAGACAAACCTATGATGTGTGAAATGAATTTGCATTGCAAGGATGTAAATATTCAGCGTTCCACAGATGTCCAAGGTGAGCTGTTTTTTCACTTCAGGTGTGAGTCCTCCTGCAACTTGACTGTAAACAGCCAAAGTCAAAGTTTACCCTAGTGCAACACAGAACTGAACTTTATAGGTACCTAAAACCCTGTCATAACAGCGGTTTACTGAACAAACTGCTGACTGGTTATACAATAAACTTTAATAATCCAAGCAGGTTACATTCAAATAAACCAGAAGAACAGCTACACAATTCCAAATGAAGAACCAAATCTGGTTATCTACAGTTGCTTCCCATTAGGTCCAAAACCAACTTGCCATTAGAGAACAGTGTTTCATACAGAAATGGACAAATACGCAGGTGGTTTTAGAGTCTTTCATGGAAATAAAGGAGACAAATATCAAAAGATAACCCAAAAGCATGAAAAGGAATATAAAAACTGTGCTCGAACCTTCATTCTGTAGCCTTTATAAAGTCAAAAGCGGCCTTTCCTAGCAGCAGTGGGAATCTCCACATCAAGTGAAATGTCTTTTAGTTAAATAGTTGAAATACAGCTTTCTTTACCTAAAATGGCAGTCAGCGAAACTGCTGAGGAGGGGAGGAGTAGGGATGCTGCCTTGCAGGTTCAGTTCATCCTTCCTTTTCACTCCTGCAGTATCTCATTTTAACAGTTCTGGGTACTGAAGCCCCCCTTCCCCAGTTAACTGCTGAAAAAGAATGAACCAAAAATCTGTCCTTTCAGACTTTCTTTACATGGCAGAAAATATGCAGGAGGCACAAGCCCAGTTTTTAAGTCTTTTCTAGGTTATCTTTTGGAGGAGCTGTACAACAGGCAACAGATATTAATATAAGCTAGTTTTCTTCATAATTCTCAAAAATTCTTGCTCACTCACTTCTCCATCTCCATCCCGATCAGCTTCATCAATCATTTCCTATAAAACACATTTTACATTTGATCAGGCACTGGATTCTAACACAAGATCTCCCATTTGCTAAAACAACAAATCAGAAGAACTTCCTATAGGAACATAACTATGTATTTGATTGCTCTTCAGTTCTCCAACCTCTCAGCCCTTTCTGTTTAGGCATGAATTTCTACCCAGTCCTTACATGCAACAGCATTGGTTGCATTGTCCCTGTTAGAAAAGCTCTGGCAAATCAGAATTTACCTGAAGTTCTTCATCTGTTAAATTTTCTCCCAGCTCCTTGGCAACTCTTTTCAAGTTTTTGAATGAAATTTTTCCTGTACCATCATCATCAAATAATCTGAAAGCTTTCAAGATTTCTTCTTTTGAATCCTTTTCACTCTAAAACAAAACATAATTAATTAGAAAACACCTGCCACAGATACTCCTTTTCATTTTTTTTTTATGCCATCACAAGGATTTCTATTAAGAATTCCTACCATTTTTTGTGTCATCATAGCTAAAAAGTCTTCAAAGTCAATGGTGCCACTTCCCTCTTTGTCAATATCTGCTATCATTTTCTTAATTTCTTCCTTCTTTGGCTCAAAGCCCAAAGCACGCATTGCAACCTGTGCCAAAAAACAATTCTGTTAGGAGGCCACCAGAACTATAGTGTAAACAGCTGCACTAAAGCTTGTTTAATTTCCTTGTCCAAAATTTTAATAACTTGCTGCAGTGAAAATATCTTGATATCTCTTACCAGCTTGTTTCATCTTCCCAGTCATAGTGTAGATTTGATATTCTTAAGACTCAGACATATTTTCTCTTTAGATCCATGTGGAACATGGATATATTTCCATATATTTCCAAAAGAGAAACCTTTTGTGTCTGAATTGGGTAAAGGTTCCAATCTACATGGTTCATAAAGGAACTGGGCTATCAAAATGGGACTTCGGGGGAGGTTGGAAACAAGGGATGTGATCTCGCTCCACCTGAAATCAAGGGCAGAATGCCCATTAATTTGATGGGTACAGAATTACATGCAGTAACAAACACAAGGAGATAGAAGAAATCCCTATGTCTGGCTCTTGGCACTTCTGGCTAGGGGGTGGACATGGTGGGGTGGGAGCTCTCAATACTCCTTAAGTGTCTCAGCCTCAGCAAAGCAAAGACTGACTCCTGTGCTAGTTTAGGAAAAGAAAAACCACCTAAGGCTTAGGGAGCACAAAGTATTGCTGTAAAAAAGTTGTGTAGATTGTTGTACAAATGCATAATATTAACATAGTTTAAAACCAGGTTCTGGCATTTCAGTGATTTTGCTACTTGGGTGTTTATCACTAATTTCACAGTCCTGGCATGCCAGATGATTATAGCATATTTAATTCATAGACTCAAGTTTGAAGAACACGGAGCTTGAGGAAGATTTGAACTGTGAACATTCATTCTTCTTATATGCTTTAGGGAAAATCAATAGTTAATATTACTAAACACTTTTCTACTGAGAAGTGCCAACCCACCAGAAACTTAACATTTAACTGAAGTGTGTTTTCTGACCAGCTTCTTGCAAAAGGACTATTGAAAATGTTCCATTTTGTCTTTCAGAAGGGAGCACTTTTGTTGTTAAACAGCCGTTATTTTGAATTGATTTGGGAAAACAAAAACAGCATCAAATGGTTGATGTTAGAACATTTCAATCAATTTTAGAAACTATATTTTAACATGCATCATCTGCATTCATAGAACATGCTCTCTTTAAGTGAGATAAGCCATAGGCTTAGTAACCGTGCTTCTAGGTTTTATATGCAGAAATTGAGGCAGTGTGTGTGTACATGAGAAATCAAGGCCAAGGAGACAATCAAGATAACAGATTCACACTTTAAAAAAGTTTATACACAAAAACACAGGGAAATAAGAATAATTACAATTACAAGAATAATTACAAGAGGAATAAGAGATGTGTGCACATCTACGGGGGTATGATATAATAGGCATCACAGAAACATGGTGGGATGGCTCCTATGACTGGAGTGTTGGAATGGAAGGTTGCAGGCTCTTTAGAAAACACAGGCCTGGAAGGCAGGGAGGGAGAGTTGCCTTTTATGTTAGGGATAGGCTGGAGAGTATGGAACTCTGTCTGGGGACAGGTGATCAGTTAACAGAGAGTTTGTGGGTCAGGGTTAAAGGGAATATAGCGATGGGAGACATTACTGTGAGGATCTGTTACAGACCACCTGATCAAGGAGAACCTGAGGATGAAGCCCTCTATAGACAGAGGAAAAGCCTCACGCTCACAGGCCCTTGTTCTCATGGGTGACTTCAACCACCCTGAAATCTGTTGGAGCGACAGTATGGTCCGGCACAAGCAATCCAGAAGGTTCCTCGATTGTGTGGAAGACAACTTCCTTCTGCAAGTAATAGAGGAGCCGACAAGGAGAGGTGCCATGCTTGACCTCGTGCTCACCAACAGGGAAGGGCTCGTTGGAAATGTGACGCTCCAGGGCAGCTTTGGATGCAGTGATCATGAGACGGTCAAATTCGAGATCCTCAGGACAGTGAGAAGAGGTGTAGCAAGCTCACTGCCCTGGACTTCAAGAGAGCAGACTTTGGCCTCTTCAGGAATCTGCTTAGTAAGGTTTCATGGGATATAGGCCTAGAGGGCAGGGGGGCCAAGACTCTTGGTTGATATTCAAGGATCACCTGCTACAAGCTCAGGAGTGTTGCATCCCAACTAGAAGGAAGTGCAGCAGGAGGGCCAGGAGACCTCCTTGGATGGATAAGGAGATGCTGAGGAAAATTAGAAGGAAAAAAGAGGCTTATAAAAGGTGGAAGCAAGGACAGGCGGCCTGGGAAGAATACAGGGATGTTGTCCAGGTAGCTAGGGATCAGGTTAGGAAAGCTAAGGCCCAGTTAGAATTAAGCTTGGCTAGAGATGTTAAGGATAACAGGAAGGGATTCTATAGGTACATAGTGAATAAAAAACAGACTAGGGACAATGTAGGCCCTCTCCAGAAGCTATCAGGGAACTGGCTACCCTGGATTTGAAGAAATCTTAATGATTTCTTTGCCTTGGTCTTCACTGGCAAATGCTCTGACCACACCATCCAAGCCTTGGAAGGCAGACACAGGGACTGTGAGAATGGAGACCCTAGGCCCACTGTAGAAGAGGATCTGGTTTGAGACCATCTTAAGAACCTGAATGTACACAAGTCCATGGGACCTGATGAAATCCATCCTTGGGTCCTGAAGAAGCTGGTGAATGAAGTTGCTAAGCCGCTGGCCATCATATTTGAAAAATCATGGCAGTCAGGTTAAATTCCTGACAACTGGAAAAAGGGAAATATAACCCCCATTTTCAAGAAGGGGAATATGTATGACCCGGGGAATTACAGACCAATTGGTCTCACCTCTGTGCCTGGCAAAATCTTGGAACAGATTCTCCTGGAAGGCATGCTAAGGCACATGAAAAACAACAAGGTGCTTGGTGACAGCCAGCATGGCTTCACTAAGGGGAAATCCTGCCTGACCAATTCGGTGGCCTTCTGAGATGGGGCTACAGAACTGATGGACAGGGGTAGAGCAGTTGATGTCATCTACCTGGACTTGTGCAAAGCATTCGACACTGTCTTGCATGGCATCCTGGTCTCTAAATTGGAGAGACATCGATTTGATGGATGGACCACTCGGTGGATAAAGAACTGGCTGGATGGCCGCACACAAAGAATTGTGGTCAATGGCTCAATGTCCGGCTGGAGACCAGTAACGAGTGGTGTCCCTCAGAGATCGGTGTTGGGACCGGTCTTGTTTAACATCTTTGTTGCTGACATGGACAGTGGGATTGAGTGCGCCCTCAGCAAGTTTGCCGATGACACCAAGCCGTGTGGTTCGGTTGATACCCTGGAGGGAAGGAATGCCATCCAGAGGGACCTCGACACGCTTGTGAGGTGGGCTGATGTCAACCTCATGAAGTTTAACCATGAAAAGTGCAAAGTCCTACACGTGGGTCAGAGCAATCCCAGGCACAGCTACAGGTTGGGCAAAGAAGAGATTCAGAGCAGCCCTGTGGAGAAGGACTTGGGGGTGCTGGTCGATGAGAAAATGAACATGAGCTGGCAGTGTGCACTTGCAGCCCAGAAAGCAACCATATCCTGGGCTGCATCAAATGGAGTGTGACCAGGAGGTCGAAGGAGGTGATCCTGCCCCTCTACTCTGCTCTTGTGAGACCTCACTTGGAGTATTGTGTGCAGTTCTGGTGTCCTCAACATAAAAAGGACATGGAACTGTTGGAACAAGTCCAGAGGAGGGCTACGAGGATGATCAGGGGACTGGAGCACCTCACATATGAAGACAGGCTGAGAAAGCTGGGGCTGTTCAGCCTGGAGAAGGCTTCATGGACACCTAATAGCAGCCTTCCTGCATCTGGAGGGGGCCTTTAGGGATGCTGGAGAGGGACTCTTCAGGGATGCTGGAGAGGGACTCTTCATTAGGGACTGTAGTGATAGGACAAGGGGAATGGGTTCAGACTTAAACAGGGGAAGTTTAGATTGGATATAAGGAAGAAATTCTTTCTTGTTAGGGTGGTGAGGCACTGGAATGGGTTGCCCAGGGAGGCTGTGAATGCTCCATCCCTGGCAGTGTTCAAGGTCAGGTTGGACGAAGCCTTGGGTGAGATGGTTTAGCATGAAGTGTCCCTGCCCATGGCAGGGGGGTTGGAACTAGATGATCTTAAGGTCCTTTCCAACCCTAACTATTCTATGATAATAATCTTCCCCCTTGTATTACTGTGTGTGTGTAGGTACATGCGCATACACACTACCTGAATTGCTACTGAAATGCAACTCAGGTCTCTGTTTTGTTCTTTTTTTTTTTAATTAAAAACCAGGTAATTTTTGTATTATGTGTAGGAGATTATGTGTTTATCTTTCCTGAATGTGTGCAAAATCTGAGATGAAGAAAATATGTGATATTTTGACATTCACCCAGAAATAAAAGTCCGCTTCCTAGAAACAATGACTTTAGCTAGTCATGAAATGTGAACTGGAATATGTACTGTGTATACCTAAACAGAGCAACTGCTTTGTTCCACCAATGCTCAGCTACTCAAAGCTATCAGTATTGGAGAAGCCTGTCTGCTCTGGAGTATTACATACAGAGACTTTTCAGGCTAACCATATAGTAGACCCTAAATTCAGTTGTGACAGCAAGCCATTACCCTTTTTTTGTACTCCAAAACTAATTTAAAATAATTAGGGCTGGACAAACAGGAAAAGCAGCTACAATTCTGAGATCAAAGATATTTCCATCCAAGGAAAAAAAGTTTGAAAACCTTCAGTTCTTTTATGTCGATGCTTCCGGATCCATCGGTATCAAACAAATCGAAAGCTTCTCTGATCTCCTGCTTTTGTTCTTCTGTAAGTTCAGGTTTCAAGCCACTTTTCTTCCGCTGGGCTGTACTTAAGCCAGGTTTTCTATAGCTGGATGCCTTCAGAAAGTGAAGGAGGAAAAAAAAAAAAAAGATAAGAAATAGTCCACTCTGGGGAAAATTCAGAACACAACTAAATTACAAGTAACAGTAAAGCTGCAGTAGACATGAGAGACTTTTTTGCTGCAAGTGGTAGACACTGGGTCTCTATGCTCATTTTCTTCTGTTTTTCTAGAAAGAAAACAAGCTGTAGACTGTATTCCTGGGGAACACATGTTTAAGCTTCATGTTTCTATTTAAACATAAAGACCATCAATTAAAGGAGTAATGACAAAAAAATCAGGGAGGGAGGCTGAAAATGAACACTGCACTAAGGTAACTAAGACCCTCTGCACATCCTTTCGGTTGCTTGGATGTATGAGGAGCGGTTTCATCTAAGAAACAAGTAAATCATCCTTACAGATAAAAAGGCTAGTTGTATAGGGTCTTGATTATAAATGGGACTCAAAGTCAGCCACTCCTAAAAGTCAACACAGAAGTGGGATGTCTGAGAGCATCTGCTCTGTTCGAGCAAAGTTTAAAGGGAGCTGGTAGCTCTAGCCAGCCCATCCACCAACTACCTGTGGTGCTAGGTACACAACATGCAGTGGCAGCAGTGAGATCAACACAAAATCTGTCCCAGAAGGAGAGCTAATCTTCTTATGCTGAGCTGGTGTGTTAGTATTCAGGACACTTCTCAGATCTTTCCTACTTCTGGTGTAGTTAGTGTAGTGCCAAATGGTTCCCTCACCTGCTCACCTAGGGAGTGGTAAAGACATTTTCCTTGCGTATGGGTTTTCTTATAAATCAGCAGCAGACAGATTTTAACCCTTCAGTCTTGAGTCTGCAGACTGATGGAAAGAAGGAAATTCCCTCCCATCCCAACTTTAACTGGTTACAGGCTTTATGAAAGTAAATAAAACAAACTCCAAGAAAGGAATTTGTTTTCTAGCTACTGCTGAGTAGCTCTAAGCTAGCTCTTACCTCTGCTGAATTGTTACCAGTTTTGAGCTGGGATCTCTCTTAAATTCCCAACGAGTAACACAGAAGATTCCATTTTGCTGTGTTTGGAAATGAAACTTCATTTTTTAACATGATTTGTCCCTCCCAGGTTGGATTGCAACCCATTTGTCTGGCACACCTCTGATATTCCCCTGTTATTAAACACAGGCAACAGATTTTTGTTCATTCTATTTCACTCTGGGAGAAACCCATGTGAGACATTTTTCTGACTGTATAAAAAAAAAAAAAAATTGCTAACACTCAATCTGAACCTTTTTTCTTGCATTCTGTGTATACACCTAGATTCTAGTTAAAACGTTGAAGATCCTGAGAGGTAGCATATGCACTGCTTCCCGTTCCTTTTATTTCAAAACCGGGTTGTGCAATCCCATTTTACATCTCCTCTTCTCATCTAGCCAATACCATTTAAATACACCACTGCTACAGGTGACCGAATGGAGGGGGTCAGTAAGTGGTGCTGAGATTAACCAGGCATCGTGCCTCCGCCTGACGCCACACTCTGAGAGCAGGTGACATATTTTGCGATTCTTGGTGTTTTATCAGGGATGTCTTTCGTAGTACCAAGATGGGGGGCGGGAAATCGGGCTCTTTCCTGTTGACTTCGGCGTTGTGCCAGGAAACCAAGCAACACAGGAAGCCTTGTGAAGCCGCATGGTCCCCACGCCAACTCCCAACAACCCTTCGAGCCCAACGCGCGTTCCCCCCCCATGGGCGGCTGGGAATCGCCGGAGAACTCTGAGGCCCGGGCAGAGCCGAGCCGAACCTCAGCTGTGGGGGGCACAACGGGGAGGGCACCGATGGGCTTAGCCGGGAACTTGCACCAGCCGTTCCGCGGGGAAGGAGAGACCGCGGGGAAGGGCGCTCACCATTTGGCTGCGGCCGCAGAAACACCGCTCCACGTCGAGTCGGCCCCACCACTCGAACGGCACAGCCCGCCTCACACAGACGAGTGGACGCACCGGAACACGCAACCGATTCGAGCCATCCAATGAACGAGCCGGGCGCACCAGAGAGCCCGCCCCCTTCCCTAACCTGGCCCAATGGTCGTCGGCGGTATCGTGATGTTAGTGAGAGTGGGGGGATTACTGTGCCCGTTGCGTCTGGAAGCAAGTGGTGGTGGCGGCGTCGGCGGCGTCGTCCTGGTAACAGACCGTCACACGGTGTCGCGGCGGTGGATGGTGCGTGCGCGGAGCCAGCTCAGCTCGTCTCAGCCCGGCCGCGGGGAGCAGGGGGAAAACGCAACCTAGTCGGTTAGAAACTAGCACCGGTGTGCTGTGCGGCGGACGAGGGACCGGTTCCGAGCTGGACTTGGGCCTCTAGCCGGGAGGAAGTGGGTGGCCCCTCACCGGGCCCGAGCAGCACCGCTCCGGGAAGCCTGCTGAGCGGCCCCGGCTCAACGCCTGAGCGCTGGCTGCTTTCCGCTTCCAGGAAGCGAGTGATGCTGGGCTGGCCCGTTACGGGCGTTCGGCTTCGGCTGCACCAAGTTAGGAAGCTCTTTGTCTTCCTACATTAGTAGTAAGAGTCCTGGCTCAGTGGTAGACTAGGTAAGTCGTGACCCTTACTTAAGCACTTGGTGGTTTAATTGCAATGAAATAAAAACATTCTTTCCTGTAAGTGCATGCCCTGCCTTCACGTGGTTTTGCAGCCAAGCCCTGGATTCACTTGGTTCATGTTTGTGGATCTGCAGGAGTACAGGCCGGTTGCCAAAATGAAGCTACAGTTTTAAAGTCTGAGTTTAAGCTGGATGTAACATTTTTAAACTTAAATTTCAGAGACAATTTCAACAAAGCAACTTATAGTTGGCTGTGTTGAGGTTTGGAAGAAGTGCATTGACTTGACAGAAGGTGCTACACTAACTCTAATTAGTCTGTTTCATAACTGGTCTTGGTTTCAGGGCCATTGAAATAAAAATGCCATTCTAATAAGACAGTGGCTTATACTGTTGAGCTGAACCTTTGTTTGAGACTGGCTGGGGAATAAGAAGTTTCCAGCACTGGAAAATGGAAACCTCTTACCCAGCAGTCCTTCCATAGTTGTCTCCCATCCAAACAGCAGCATGGTCTTCTGCCCAGAGCTATGTACCAAGGACCTAGGTACCGAGAGAGCATTGAGTGGCCTTGCAGTGTTGTTACTTCAGCTCTTTCCTGATTTTTATGAAGGGAACCACAAATTGGTTATTTGTTATTTGTATCAAAAAGCAGGTTGTGAAGTGACCAAGAACTGCTTGAATTTAGAAACAGTGATCTTGGAGAAAAAAAGAAAACACAACAAAAAACCACAACAAAGCACAAAACAAACAAGAAAAAAAAACAACCAAACAAAAAAAAAATTACTGTCTTAGTAAATCCTTAAGAGAAATCAAATGGAATGATGAGGTTTTGGGAGAGTGGCGGAAACACATTTCATATTGGATTGCATGATCCAATTAATATTATTTAATCAGTTCAACTATTTTTTTGTTTGCTTTTTTTTTTTGCAAAACAAGCTACTCGTGATATGAAGATAAGGATTCCAATTAACAGCCCTTTATTATTATTGTTGTTATTACTAGAAGTACTGATATGGATACATAGCAAAATTAGATAATTGTCACAAGACATTGCCAAGAACAGTTTCCAGGTAAAACCCTTAAGCAGGTTGGTTGGAGGTTTTCAGAGGTGCATTCCCAGTGCAGTTTTAAAGTTAAAAGTACCTGCTTATCTAAAATTCCTTAAATTGTCGATTACAGCAACTATAGTTTAAAATAACTTCTTAGTTAATGATTCCTTTGGTGCTTCAAGATGTAATTGAAGTGGAATTCTGTTGTCAGTTTGCACTAGACTAGAACTTCAGGACTGTCAGCATAAAAAGTCTATTTCTGACTGCCTGCTCTGCTTTTTAAATTCACACTTCATTTTCATTTGAGATAGTATTCTACTAATACTTATACTTTCACTAAGCTGGACAGAATTTTGCATTTGGAATAAAGAGATGAAATAAAGGATTTGAATCTGAGCATAAAAGGTATATGGCTAAGCTTCTTAATTCTTGATGTGTATACTTTTACATTCAAAAAAAGAAAAATAAAAGGTCTGCCACAGGACTGTGGTGTGGAAGAGATTTCAAGTGAAAGAAGATTTATTCTTGGCATGTTAAAACTGAGTAGTAGATCAAAACCTTAAAGTTTTGGTAGTTTGCTTTGTGAAGTATGAAGAAGTGGCATTTCTTTTCATGCACATTTAATAAAGTGTTGATGCGTGCTAAATGGAATAAGTAGAGTTGGAACAAAATAATTTTGATTATGCTTTTACAGATTTGAAGGTTAAAGTAAGTGGCATAACTGTTTTTGCCCAGATGGATCTGTACAGAGCACTTTTGTTTTGCACATAGTTGTCCATTCTGCTCTAATGAATTTTTGCCCTAAATAAGCCAAATAACTGAAATTCCAGATAGCAGGTCAGGAGATAAATGGTAGTTCTACACAGTCTGCTCTGTATAATGTTTAAGAAACCACCAGAATTAGCAGTACTTCACTATCTGCCAGCAATTAAATATTCCCTGGTATTTTAGCAATGCACCATTTCAGCAACTGTGTGCATTGACATCTCCTAAGAAGTGCACAGGATAAAGAACTGTTTAAGATAGCATCACAGAAGTGGTGTAGTCAGTGTTAGACTGTTAATTTAAATTTTTGCTGATATATGCTGTGGAGTGCTGTGAAGATGGGGCAATAAGTTTGTGTTCTGTTCACAGATCCTGCCTGCTGCCCATGGCTTTCAGGGATGTGAATGCAAGGCAACACATTGGACTTCAGCAACTCTCTTCCTTGGCCTTAGCTGGAAGAACATTACTGGGGCCAGTGAAATCGTGTAAATTCATTGTGGATGAAATCACCAATGAAAGCACATTGATTTGTTCTGCTGTTAGACTGATTGAAAGTTTGGATTTAACTAGTGCTGCTGGACAGCTTCTTAACGAAACCATTCAGGCACAAACCAAGGAGTTTAAGACTGGAATGAGTACCCTGTTGTTTCTTGTTGGTGCGTGGAGCAATGCTATAGTGGAATGCCTCCAGCAAAATGTTCCGGTTTCAGCAATAGTATCTGTGATGTCTGAGGGGTTGAACTCTTGCTGTGAGAGAGTCCAGTGTCTTCAAATATCAATACATGATGTAAAGAAAGAGCTCTGTTCTAGCAGTGTTAGGCCAAATGCTTCTAAAAGCAAAACTTGCCAAACTGGATGTGACAGTCCTCCAAATTCCCAGCTTTTCCTGTATTTTCAGAAAGATATTTCTGTACCAGAAATAATTCCAATTAATTCCTATTCCCATCAAGATGATGATTGTAATTTTAACAAGTACCTGGTTTCGCCTTTGCCTGGCTTTGATTCAGTCGCTTCTCTTGTCAAACCAGCGGGTGACAAGAGTACATCTGTGATTTCTGGAAGTGGTGTTACCACATCTAGCTGTAACAAACGAAAGCTGACCCACAGCAGGTACTTCAGCACTCTAGGAAAAAGCCTTTTTTCAAGTCAGCAAGGTAATTTTCAGGAATACCTTCTGGGACCATCAGCAGATTCATGTGTATGTGGTGGTTTAGGACACCTGGCAATGGCTCTGAGCCACGGAAATGAAACTAGCATGAAACTGCTGCAAAGCATTGTTACATATCAGCAAGAGACAGCAGGACACAGTGGCTCTTCCCAGTTAAATGTTGCAGAAATTGTGACATGCTGCTTAGTGGGCCTGCCTGAAAGCTATTCTTGTGCCTCCCCAGGCTTTGTCACATTGGTATCACCAGAACAAGTCACAGTTATCAAACGCTTTGAAGACAAACTCCTTCGGATTCTGCTAATAGATGGTGACCTAACAGAGCAATATCGTCACTTAGGTTTTAACAGACCGTGTAATATGAGGACCATAGTGGAGCATCCTAACCTACAGGAAGGAGACCTGTGGCTAAGCAGTATGGTAGATAATCTGATAAAATTTGAAGTAAACCTGGTTTTGGTCAAAGGAAATGTGTGTGAAAACTTAATGGAAAGATGCATTGCAAATAGTATATTGTTAGTTAGTTCTGTGACTTGGAATGTGTTGTGTGCCTTTGGGGAAGTCACTGGCGCTCAGCCAGTGACATACCTCACCCAGCTGAACGTTTCTTGTGTGGGGAGTGGGGCCCAAGTGGAGTTGTGGAAGGCCTGTGATGGGCGTGCAATGGATCTGGGTGAACTCGTGCCGGTCAGAATAAAAGCACGAGGAATTCCCCTGCTCACAGCTGTGCTTACCACTACTGTAGCTTCAAAGATGCAGCTCATTGAAGACCAGTTCTGGACGTTAGTGTATCGACTCCACCATGCTTTAAATGACAAGAAGGTTTTTATTGGTGGTGGTGCAGTGGAACTCTTGTGCCTCAGTCACATTCAGATGCTTGTCGAACAGCCTTTACAGCCACCAAATCAAAATGCTGTGAAAGAGTTTCACAATCCTTGGCAGCCAGCATCTGCTACTGAGTATAAATCAGTTGTGCTCCAAGCGTTAGCAAGCGGCTGGAAACAGTATCTCTTGATGGTTATGTGTAACACCACAAAAGCTGCATCGAAGTTGGAAGCGTGCACCTCAGTTGACCATTACCTCAGAAAAGCAGCTGACTGTGGCTCTCCTTCAGCATACATACTGAAAGAGTTTAGAAGAGGTGATCTGCTCAGGGACGGAGCTGGTCCCTTCGCTGACCACAGGGAGGGTTTAAAGGTTTATGATAATGTTACAGCCAAGACAGAGGCATGGCGGAGAGCTCTAGATTTGGTGCTACTAGTACTTCAAACAGATGCTGAAATTGTCACAGGTCCCAGAAAGAATCAGATACTGAACTCACATGCCTCAAGTGAATTTATGTTTTTATAGGATTTGCAGGCTTTATTTATAAGTCCATGAGTCCAAGGGCAACCTACACTTCTTCATAGTTTATAAAGCAAACATTTAGATATGATTATGACTTTGGAGCCCAACAGCGGAAATCAGAAGATGCGACAGTCACAAAGTAATTTCTCATTTCTAGAAACAGGAGTTAAAAAACAGATAGAAATCACTTGTGGATTTCTCTCTAACCCCAGCTGTGCATTTCTAGCCAATAATATTGTTCATATGGATAGATTCATCCAGTCAAACTGACTAATGTTATTTAGCAGAGCAAATGTGCAATTCTTTTTTTCATTATAATGAGAAGTGCTAGGCAGGTAGACATATTGAGTCCAGATGGAGAAAAGTTTGATACCTTGGATATGCTTATGTTCTGAACATACACTGTCTGTATTGAGGTATCTGGATTTGTGTTCTGTAAATTATTCTTAGTTAACGTCTTTTAATGTCTTCTAAAGAAGAATAGGGACATAACATTAGCATATTTGTGTTAATTTCTGTACAATGCAAATGGAAGAGTTAAATGCAGTAATTATGAGTGCTACATTTTATGCTGAAAGATTGTATTAATAGATGCTAATTTTGCATATTTATATGTATGTCCTATTTCAAATATATACCCTTTGAAATTTTCTTCATTTTGACATAAATTTAGGCAGAATCCTCCCCTTTGGTGTTACAGACTGGATGTGTCTCTACAAAAAATTTCCCTTAATTTGCAAGTTGGCTTTTTAGATTATTCTCTGGGCTTTCTCAGTTACTCTTGCAAAGGGGAAAATGTATGTTTTAGCTGTTAGCTAAAAACTGGAAACAAATCTATCATGATGATTGAAACAAGGCATTTTTATTGTCTTTCGACACTTGAAATTTGAAAGCAAAGCCATGGACAACTGGCACTTTGTTGCAAGAAAGAGGAGTGTAACTATGGAGATAGTTGTTCAGAATGCCAAATTCAGAAAAAAAGTAAGTGAAATGTCTCACCAGTGTAGTGAAAACAGATTGGAAAAGGAATGGAAATTGTGATGCTAAAGCAGATTCTTGCTTTTAGGAATTTTTTCATTAAAATGCTAATGTCTGGAAGCACTAGGGTTAAACACTTACTGGTTGCAATTGCTTGTGCTGATGGCAGACTGTCCTTCTGTGGTGAGAGCTAAGAATTAGGGTGGGCTAAAGAGTGTTTTCTGAGGTGTGATTCAGTGGAAAGGCAGACATATTTTCTTTGAGGTATCTCCCCACTGCAGAAGACATCTTGGATAAGAGCCATCAGCTGCCTCAAACCCCTATGACCACTGGCAGTTCCCCAGTTGACCTCTGCTGACCTTTAACACAGTTGCTGTTTTCTCTTGGGAAGGCCCTTCCCTTCTACCTGTGCATTCAGGCTTGAGTTAATGAAAAATTGAGTTCCGAAAATGTCTTCCCAGTGGTGCAAACACCTCAACATTATATCCCATTGTAATTGTCAATAGGTATTTGACAGAATCTGGTATTTTCTACCTCCCACACGTTCACTACATCTTTTTCCTTCCATTTATGTCTTTAGCCCTATAAAATAACTCCATAACCTACACCGCATTTAGTTAAAAATAGCCCTTTCTGAGACTTGCTTACATCTGGTAGGTCTCCATAGCTGGGGATTCCATGGGGAGGTGGGATAGGCTACTGAGGTTCTGAATTAACCTTAGGCACAAGGCGGAATTGGGATCCTTAGAAACAGCTTTTGAGTGTTGAACTGACCAGAAGCCCTAACTTCATTTTTATGAAGAAAAGAATCTATCTAAACGCGTTTTATCCCGGAGTTTTCTCCTACACTAGTCTCAAATTCAGATCTTTCACAGACCTGTTTACCCAAGTGGATCACACTAGGTGAATAATTGATGTTTTCTGTATGTCAGGAAAAGAAAGACACAGATAATGAAATTCACCCTCAAATACAGTTTAGGTACGTATAGGTATATATGTCTGTGCATATATTACAGTAGTGTTATACAGGGGGGTTTCAAAAGATTCAAAGTTCTCATTGCTTAATTGCATATTTTATTTTTTTATATATTTCTATTCAACTCACATGTAGCTGAAAGGCTCTTAAGGAGCTTAAGGAAGCATATTTATAACAGTTGCCTTTTAGAAATAGGGGAGAAAACCTTTTCTGTGTGTAGAAAGTTATGCTTGTAGTATTTAGTCATCTCTGACCTGAAACTGTAAATATTTTGGTTTTCTAAAAAAAAAGTTATTCAGTGGCTTTTGCCAGAATCTTGTCAGAACTGTAGGAGTTTATAATTTTATTTTGAAACGATAGTTCCTAGCAGCATAGGGATCCAGCTGTATTAATTTTTTGGTCAGTTGGTAACTGGTTGTTGTGGTTTAAGCCCAGCCGTAAATCAGAACCACGCAGTCTCTCTCTCACAGTCCCCCCTTCCCCCCCGCCCCTGCTCCTGGAGGGATGGGGAGGAGAATCAAAAGAATATAACTCCCATGGGTTGAGATAAGAACAGTCCAGTAACTAAGGTATAACACAAACCACTACTGCTACCACCAATAATAATAATGATAAGGGAAATAACAAGGGAAGAGAATACAACCGCTCACCAACCGATACCCAGCCCGACCCAAGCAATGATCTAGCCCTTCCGGGTAACTGCCCCCAGTTCTACATCCTGGGCATGGTGTGCTGTGGTATGGAATACCTCTTTGGCTAGTTTGGGTCAGGTGTCCTGTCTCTGCTTCCTCCTGGCTTCCCCTCCTTCCTGGCAGAGCATGAGACTCACAAAGTCCTTGGTCAGACTAAACATTACTGAGCAGCAACTAAAAGCATCGGTGTTATCAGCACTGTTCCCAGGCTGAAAGTCATAACCACAGCACTGCACCAGCTACTAAGAAGGAGAAAGATGACTGCTACTGCTGAACCCAGGACACTGGTGTTTCACTGCTTGGCCACACTCTTTGTGTACTAAGATATAAGAGAGAAAGATTTTGGTAGTCAAAAGAGGCAAAAGGAGTTAGTGGATGTTCAGTGAGAAGGAGATGGAAACACGGCGTAAATTAATATAAACTGCTGCTCTGCAAGTGTTTGCAGGTCATCTTTGGCTTATGCTGTTTTTCTTGAACCTCCTGTACTGAGCATTGCATAACCCCTGTTGCCAAGAAAAGATCCAGTTGCACTTTATTTGAATAATAGAGCTAAGTGGATTATGGAAAAACTGCGTACATGAATTGTGTTGAGGTGGTCCAAACAGCTATTTATAGGGCCCTTAAACACCAAAACTGGCACACCAAATGTTGAGAAAATCCAAAATGATGTAATTTTTCCAATCAGGCTTTTAAAAAGCATATAATGAGATATTTAAATATTGTGATGCAGAAGTTTTCTAAAATCTGTCAAGCATTATGTTTTGGTTATTAACACTTGTTTTTCTACAGGCCAATGAAATGGAAAGTTGTATAAACTAGCTAGATATTGTATCCTCATTACTTAAAATTATTTCTTTGATACACCTAGAAATTTAACATGCATGCTGCCCTAAAGACATCCTCCTTCTGCAACATGAAATACAATGTACACGTGTTTCTTTCTCCACTTCAAAGCTCTTGAACCTCTTTGCAACATAGAATGAAGGTCCCGCGCATGTCTGACATGGCTCTTAGCGCAGGGAATGATTTCAGCTTCTCCCAGGCAGAGGCTCCTCCTACAGTACACAAAGGCTGTTTGTGTAGAGTATTATGTGATGCAAGAGCTAAGCTTTTATATTTTATGTGCCTGGGAAATTGGGAAATGGCAGAGATTTTAGGGAAAGTATTGTCCCAAGGAGCATCTCACTCTCTGCTGAAACTCTGTCCTAGTCAGTAGTCTCATTTCTCCCTTCCAGCCCAGTATCATCATTCCCAGCTCACTCCTCCTTCTATTTAGGGCTGATGCCATTTCATTTAACATTTATAAGGACAACCTTTTAGGCCTCTCTGCTCCTTCATGATTTCCTGAAATGTAGTAGAGGTCATAGCAGCAAGACCGTTGTCCCAAGGTGGGCTAGCCTAAAGCTCACAGCCTGCTTGCAAATTCTGGTCCAGTAAGGACTGATAACTGCAAAGACTGATTGAAGCAGATTATTTGGGATGCTGTTCTGGGCTGCCCTATCTCCACTTCCATTTATCCTGGGAAAGATTCAAGAATGGGGAGCTGAGTGGCTTTTTTTTTTTTTGTTGTTGATTCAACTTTGAAAAAATCTGCCTGCTTTTCTATGCTTCTCATCTGGGGGAATAACACGGTTTGCTTTTGTTGTGGTTTAAACCCTAGCCAGACAGCTTGTTCACTCACTCCCAGTGAGTGATGCCGGGCTGAGAGCAATCAAGGCCCCCCCACCCCCACCCCGGGGCTATCCCCTTCCCCGCTCCCAGAGGAACGGGGAGGATTGAAAGAGTGCAACTCCCACGGGTTGAGACAAGAACAGTCCAGCAACCAATGTACAACACAAATCACCACCGCTACCACCAACGACAACAATGATAAGGGAAAATAGCAAGGGAAGAGAATACAATACCATTGGCCAAGAAACGAGTCCCACCTGGAAGCCTGTGTCCTTCCGGGTAACTCCCAGTTACCCCCCACCCCGGGCATGACATGCTGTGGTATGGAATACCTCCTTGGCTAGCCTGGGTCAGGCGCCCCATCTCCGCTTCCTCACAGCTTCCCCTCCTCCCTGGCAGAGCATGAGCCTCACAAAGTCCTTGGTCAGGGTAAACATCACTTAGCAACAACCGAAAACATCAGTATCACCAGCACTGTTCCCAGGCTGGAAGTCAAAACACAGCACTGCACCAGCTACCAAGGAGAAACATGACTGCTACTGCTGAACCCAGGACAGCTTTTAACATAGAAGCATCACCTGTCAGCATATTCCTTTTTCACATGTTGGAGCCTAAGTTTGTGAGACTTTTGCTCTGTTATTTCAGGAGGCTGGTGCAAACTTGCACAAAAATGCTTTTTGAACAACGTAATGTAAAATGACACTAGCAGCTATACATTACATCTTTTATACATCTGTACTCTCCAAGCACTCCTAGCACTAATAAAATGTCTCTGGGTGGAGTTAGCAGTAGTATCTAATTGAGTAAGAAAGAAGTTTATTCTGGTGTCCACGTATGGAAGCTTCCTAACCTCTTGATTTCCTTTTGAATTTCTTGATTTATTCCTGCCAGTGTTTGTTTTAAAACAGAAGTTCTCAGCATGTGTCTTGCCCAGTGACATTAGGAAATTTCTTGGCTGAGGCTTTCTGCAAGTGGATCAAAGTAATTGGGGATCTTGCTGTGAGCCAGCATCAAGAGCTGTCCTTCTTTGAAAAGCAGGTTGACTACTCATAATCAGTGCAGGCAGGATATCTAGAAGAGCTGCACCAACTCTACCAGGTAACAAATAAATGAAATGTCTCATTATTGATTTTTTTAGTCTGAGGTTTGGTTTGTTTGGTTTTTTTTGTGTCTGTATTTAAGCTCCATAACACCCTGATATATGACAGTGACATACTCAGACGTGACTGATCTGCGGCTTTAAGGATGTGCTCACAGTTATTGGAACCTGCAGTGTTGACAGAGCTGCTGTGCACAACAGGCACTTTTGAGAGAGCCTTTAACAACAGACTTACTACAAGCCTTACAATTTTTGTAAGGCAAATTGACAGGGTATGTTAAATAGTTCAGTTATTGTACAGCTGTCCTGGGTTCAGCAGCAGTCATTTTTTCTCCTTCTTAGTAGCTGGTGCAGTGCTGTGGTTACGACTTTCAGCCTGGGAACAGTGCTGATAACACCAATGCTTTTAGTTGCTGCTCAGTAATGTTTAGTCTGACCAAGGACTTTGTGAGTCTCATGCTCTGCCAGGAAGGAGGGGAAGCCAGGAGGAAGCAGAGACAGGACACCTGACCCAAAGTAACCAAAGAGGTATTCCATACCCCAGCACACCATGCCCAGGATGTAGAACTGGGGGCAGTTACCCAGAAGGGCTAGATCACTGCTTGGGTCGGGCTGGGTATCGGTTGGCAGGTGGTGAGCGGTTGTATTCTCTTCCCTTGCTATTTCCCTCACCATTATTATTATTGGTGGTAGCAGTAGTGGTTTGTGTTATACCTTAGTTACTGGACTGTTCTTATCTCAACCCATGGGAGTTATATTCTTTTGATTCTCCTCCCCATCCCTCCAGGAGCAGGGGGAGGAGGGGGAGGCAGTGAGAGAGAGGCTGCATGGTTCTGATTTACGGCTGAGCTTAAACCACGACAATAGCAAATCTGTAGAATGCACCAATCTGGTACTGACTGGCTAGAAATACTTTTCGGGGGGGATCAATCCCACATTTTTCACTTTTTGAAGGGCCCAGGGCATGACAAGTGTTCAAGATTGTGGCACAGTGATACATTTACTCTGTCCCTTGCATAACTTCTTTGTATTAATTTTTTGCCTTGGGAGTTATGTTTGAATTTTTAGCTTTTGGTAACTTCCAGAATGTGATGATGCGTACTGCTGTTTCTACAGCTTTTGCCTCAAAGTCACTTGTGAAAGTATTAACTTGCTGACAGCACTTTGAAGCGGAGAGAGTATATTCATTTTATTCTCTTCCCATAGATAAGTAATCCTTTTGAGATCACTTCGACACAATACAGTTAGAGCGTAGTTTGTATGACACAAATGTGGAAAAATAAAAAAAAAATCACAGAGTAAATTCTGCCACTTGCTATCAGTGTTGCTGCATTAATTAACAATTTATTGCAAAGCTGCAAGACGTAGATCCTTTTCTTTCAAGATGGTGTGTTAACCAAGTATGACTAGATCTGCAGTCTTAAAGGACTTTTTCTTTGTAGATCACATTGTTCCAAGAACAATGTCCACAGGGATGATTTCAGCATAGTTGAAGGGATAGAAAACAGCTCAGGTATGCACACAAGCTAGAGACTGGGTTTTATCCTGAATGGTGAAAGGAAGAAAAAACCACACTGTTCCATCTGTTTTGGCTTCCTAGCTGTTTATTACATTAGTAATATCAATTTCTTTAGACTTTTGCAGAACACTTATCTTCCCATTTCCCAGTTAGCATTTGTGTCTGTCCAGGTGTTTTAAATGAATTTCACAAATTCTATACTGTGTATTCTGCAGTGCCTAGTAGAGCTGGAACCGTGTTATGGGCATTCCAGTAAGCCTTGAGAACATAATCTGAGTTGGAAACTTCTGCAAGTACTTCTGCAAGTCCTTACAAATACTTGCAATACTTGCAGATACAGCAGGGACTGATCAGGCACAGATGGTGAAAGCTCATGGGAAACCAAGAAACCAAGAAACCAAGGCCTGTATTTGGTTTTCCCTGACTAGTAAAGATTCAAAACAAAAGTAAAAATCTGTTTAAATGGAAAAGAATTCTTTCCTTGGGGACCAAGTGCTACTCCAAACAATAGTGTTTTTTTTAAATTATTATAAGAGTATTAAAGTTGGCATGTAGTTTTTATTTAGAAGTAGTGGGAAGATTGGTCCCTGCCTTTTATTTTAGCTCAAATAAGTAGATTGGGGTTTATCACTATTCACAACTTTTGTCTGCTGCGTTTTGAGACCAAATATTTAACCAGTGTTGCAGATTTGAAGAGATGACTAAAAATAACACAGTTGGTGAACTTATTTATTTCTGAGGTGTCATCTGAGTCACTGCTTTAACTAACTAAAGTTAAAAACAAAATAAAAGCAAACAAGAGGAACCCCGTATTTGTTAGCACTGGAAAGCCAAATTAACTCCATAGGAGTTGTATAAAAGAAATTTTATATATATATCTACATGTATGTAAGCATTCTAGAGCAGAACAGACACAGTTTCTTAGTTAGCAACATTAACCTGTGGTCTAGTCAAACAGTCCTGAACTAGGGCAGTTAATCTATTCACCTCTTGTTATGTCAAAGAAAAAGATTATAATACCTCTTTTTCCAGGGTAGCTATTATAAGTAAATCTTCATCTTGTCCAAGAGCAGCCTTGTAAAAAAAAAACCCACTCCAGTAAACTGAAAGGAATTACGTCTTGTTTGGGGTATTAATTCCTGTATTTCATTTGCTGTTCCAGTATTTGCAGTCCTGTCTGTGGGTTGCAGCTCAAAGATACATGTATACCATGCACATATTAATTTAGAGGAAGCAGTCATGAATGCTGTATATGTACATGTACATGTGTATAATTCCATATCAGTATAATGTCTTTGATTCCATAGTGATGAAAATTAGACTAATACAGCTGCAGAAGTAGGACACCAAGCTGTGTGGTTTGGTTGATACACTGGAGGGAAGGAATGCCATCCAGAGGGACCTTGACATGCTTGTGAGGTGCTACTGCTGAACCCAGGACACAACCTTATGAAGTTGAACCATGCCAAGTGCAAGGTCCTGCACCTGGGTTGGAGCAATCCCAGGCACAGCTACTGGTTAGGCAAAGAAGAGATTCAGGGCAGCCCTGTGGAGAAGGACTTGGGGGTGTTGGTTGATGAGAAAATGAACATGAGCCAGTAGCGTGCGCTTGCAGCCCAGAAAGCCAACTGTATCCTGGGCTGCATCAAATGGAGCATGACCAGAAGGTCAAAGGAGGTGATCCTGCCCCTCTACTCTGCTCTCGTGAGACCTCACTTGGAGTATTGTGTGCAGTTCTGGTGTCCTCAACATAAAAGGGACATGGAATTGTTGGAACAAGTCCAGAGGAGGGCCACGAGGATGATCAGGGGACTGGAGCACCTCCTGTATGAAGACAGGCTGAGAAAGTTGGGGTTGTTCATCCTGGAGAAGAGAAGGCTGCGTGGACACCTAATAGCAGCCTTCCAGTATCTGGAGGGCACCTATAAGGATGCTGGGGAGGGACTCTTCATTAGGGACTGTAGTGATAGGAGAAGGGGTAACAGGTTCAAACTTAAACAGGGGAAGTTCTTTACTGTAAGGGTGGTGAGGCACTGGAATGGGTTGCCCAGGGAAGTTGTGAATGCTCCATCCCTGGCGATATTCAAGGCCAGCTTGGACAGAGCCTTGGGTGAGATGGTTTAGTGTGAAGTGTCCCTGCCCATGGTAGGGGGGTTGGAACTAGATGATCTTAAGGTCCTTTCCAACCCTAACTATTCTATGATTCTATGGTATGTTTATTACATCAGTTTAATTAACTGACAAATTCATCCTAATATAACATTATTTCAATTCCCTGAACATGCCTTGCTCAAGGCAGTGAGTGTTCAGCCCCTCACTTCTCACTGCTCTTCATCTCTTTAGTTTATGTAAGCATTGTTTAAATACCCAAAAGCATATTAAATATCCAAAGCATATTATTCAAGTTCTTCTGGTTCAAGGATGCTTGTTTTCTGGAGCCATTTAGCTATGACAGAATGCTGATGGCTTCCAGAAGCCAGGGAACTCAGATGTTATTTGCAGTAAGAGTGCTTTATTGGAAAAGAAGCCCAAGTCCTTCTTTGTTTGTCTGAAGTACCATGCAGTTAAATTAAAAAAGTTTTTATACATGGCCCTGGCTGTGCAATTATTCTAGCTTCTATTTTCGAAGTATTTGGCACCTCAGAGCAGTGCTAAATAAGCTCAACAGAATTGCCGTGTGTCAGATCAGTAATTACTATGGATGGGGTTTCTGTGCCTGGTATCGGAAGGGCTCTCAAATCTCAGCTCCCGTGCTGCATACTTGGGACTGTTTCCCAAGAGAGCTTGAGGAGGACCTTCAGCCTTCCAGATTCCTCTCACAACCACTGATAAAGCCAGTCAAACTGTAGAAGAAAAGAGGAGTTTCAAAGTCAGGATAAGATGAAAGAAATTATTTAAAATTCCTGTGTCTCTTACTTGTTAAGTCTGATCATTAAACAGACCTCATATTAAACTGTTTAAGAAAGATTTTCTAAAATGCAGGGGCTAATTTAGGAGTGTGTGACTTCTGTCTGTGCCAAGAGGTGCTGTTTTAATTAACTGTCTTTGCTTACCTGTAAAATAGAATTTTAGACCGCCCTACAACATGATACTTGGAATGTAACACATTAACTATGATGTGAAGAGGCATTATACAAACAAGATGTTCCATACCCTGTCCTTCCTCAAGTGATCATGTCCATCTCTCAGCTAACAAGTTAAAATAGGACTTATTTTGAATTGGATTTCTTTCAAAAGGCCAATCAAGAAGTTTTCTTTCTGTTTTATGTGTTGCTATGAGTTGCTACCACAAATTCAGTTTTTGAATGTGAATTTAAGATGCTTTTGCTGTAAAATCATTTGTCATGTGTGACAAGATGTTACTACGCTGATATGTTATTCTTAGGAGACTGGAGGGGAAGGGGGGATCATACTTTGGTCATGAATTAATACAGGAACCAATCCCTTTTTCATAAAAATGTCAGTGAAGTTTCCATTGCTTTGTGGAGTTAAAGGCTTGGTCCCTAAGAAACAGATTA